GAGGTGGGGGTAAAGACTTGTGTGTGCCAATAGAAGGAAAATTTTATTAAATCTGACACCTATGATCAATATCAGATTTATTATATCAGAAATAATTTTTAAGGAAATCTATAACAATTGGGAAGCGTGCCACACACACGCACACAAAAAAAAAATGGGAACCAAGTAGAGAGACTCAACTACTCACGCCATCTTGAAGAATAAAGAATAGAAGATTACCGTCAATGTGTTGAAAATATTCACGAGAGATTGCTGAACAAAATGAAAAGCTAAATGGTTAATTCCGACTTCAACAGTTAAAATTCAACAAAATATCAATGGGTTTACTCTTCAACTCTTCCGAATTTTCTCTTGTCAATATATTATGTGTCCTTTTCCTTAAAAATTTATTTCTGCATGGTTTTAGTATTATCATTACTTGGGCGATGCAATTATTTGTTATAGCAGTATCATCAAATGCATTGTATAATCGTCATAAATATTGTAATAAGCATGTTACAATTGTGGGGGCAAGGATTAAATAACAACTAAAAAGATAAGTTATATTTTATTTATTTTGATTCAATTAAGCGAAAAATACATAATGATTTAGTTTATATTAAATATTACTATCATTACTATTGTTAATATTAGTATCTTCTTCATCTTCTATATCATCCTCCCTCTCAATTTTTTTCTTCTTTTCTTTATCAATTCTCTATGGTTTCCTTCTAGGATTCATTTTTTTGTTGATAGAAGATTTTTGCATTAAAGGCAGCAATTCCACCACATAGTCTATTTCACCAAATGAAAAAAAAAAGGATCAGTTCAGTCATTTCATCAAGAATCCTCCCACAACTTTTAAATTTCCATTAGATTGATTACCAGTTGGTTTACTGCTTGATTTGCGTTTTTCTGGGTTCTACTAGATTAACTATTCTATAGGTTTGATAATATACTAAAAAGCCAAAGAATAGTCCGATCAACAATCCATAAAAAAAATTTTACTTGTGGAAGGCAAAGATTTGGTTTGTTTTATAACGCTGAGTTTTGTTTTAGAACTGTAAAATAGCAATAAGAATTATGGCTATGATTTTTTTAATATTGTTAGTAAAGAATTTTTATTTCAACTTTAAATTTAAATAAAATTTTCTTTCCTATTATATTTCTTTGCG